ATCACCCTCAACCTCACCCTCCCCCATCACCCTCAACCTCACCCTCCCCCATCACCCTCAACCTCACCCTCCCCCATCACCCTCAACCTCACCCACACTCTCTCTCACCCTCACTGCACTTACACCCTCCCCCTCTTACTCTCACTCCCCCTCCACCCACCATTATCACCCCATGCCACTGCAGCCAGCTGTCACTCTTCATTGCCAGTCGACGCCTCAACTGCAAGATAGACAAGCTGGCAGGGGTGCTCGAGACAAACCAGCCAGACGCGCTCTGTTGATAGGGGAGTTTTTCCTCGCACTTTTTCGTCTTCTTCTCATCAGCTCTCATCCCTTCCCATCTCCCTTCCCTGCCCCTGCACACCATTCTTGCTCTGTGTATGCAGCGAGCTGTTACTCTTCATAGCCAGTGGCCTTCGTGTATGCAGCGAGCTGTCACTCTTCATAGCCGGTGGCTGCCTCAACTGCAAGAGAGACAAGGTGGCAGGGGGGTGCTCGAGACCAACCGGCCAGATACACACTGGCCATGGGGAAGGGCGTTTTTCTCATGTGACTCGTGCACTCATCAGCTCCGTTACCTTCCTGTTTCCCTTCCCTTCCATTCTCGTTGCCTTCCCCCTCGCCCCGGCTTAACTCCCCTCTGGTCTGCAGCGAGCTGTCACTCTTCATAGCCAGTGGGCGCCTCAACTGCAAGATAGACAAGGTGGCAGGGGTGCTTTAGACCAACCGGCCAGCCGCACTGTTCCCCTTCCGTCCCTTTCCTCCTCTTTCCTCATCAGCTCCCCTGCATCCTCCTTCCCCCTCTTTGTTGCCCTTCCCCCTCTCTGTTGCCCTTCCCCCTCTCTGTTGCCCTTCCCCCTCTCTGTTGCCCTTCCCCCTCTCTGTTGCCCTTTCCCCTCTCTGTTGCCCTTCCCCCCCTCTGTTGCCGTTCCCCTCCATTCCCCCCTCCCTCCTCCCCTCCCTCCCACCTTTATTCCCCCCTCGTGTGTGCAGTGAGCTGTCTCTCTTCATAGACAAGGTGGCGGAGTGCTTGAGACCAACCGCCCGGACGCACTGTTACCCGTGACTCATGCACTTCAATCGTTTTCCTCCCCTTTTTCTCATCACCTCCTCCCCCTTCCTGTTTCCTTGCCCTTCCCTCCTTCCTCTTCTCTACAGCGAGCTGTCACTGTTTATTGCCAGTGGGCGCCTCAACTGCAAGATAGACAAGGTGGCAGGCGTGCTTGAGACCAACCGCCCAGATGCGCGTAATGCACAGTACCAATCAGTGCTGAAGCAGGGCGACCTGCTGCTTAATCGCATTCAGAAGCTGTCACGGGTGATTGATGTGTGACAGAGCATGGTATCTGGATGACTGGGGTATCTGGATGGTACAGTAGCTGTCACGTTCATTGACTTGACTGCCATATATTTGTATAAATACAAGCGAAGTACCTCGATACCAAGGGTGTCTGTATTATTTGGCCTCATTTTGTCTTGAAAACACAAGGCCGTGCTGATTGTGGCACCCCTTACAATCAGAGTTGTAAGCTTCGGGCCTGCACGGCTGAGAGTGGTGCAAATGTCCATCTGCACTGTGCAGCGCGATACAGCGCGGTGCAACGTGGTCCTGAGCAAAGGCTGGCCTGACAACAAGACCTACTAAAAACCTGGGCAGCTCAGCAAAACATATCCAGAAGCAGACCAGCGTCTCTTGTCATTGCAGCAACACTGGGTAAAAAATAACGATTTTGAAGCTGTGACTAGACGCACATGCCTACCCATTGCAGCACCACTGACGGGGCATGTAACAGCCGAAAACAAACGACAGCACAGCCAGGTCGCTGGGAATCACGGGGCTTGCATACCCCCCCCCCCCCCGCCACCGCACTCTGCCCGCCCACGCCCTGCTACACCCACACGTCCTAGCCTAACCATCGCAGCACCACTGGCGGGGAGTGTAAGCACCACTGGCGGGGAGTGTAAGCACCAAACACAAACGACAGCACAGCAAGATCGCCGCCACTCGCTGGGCTTGCATACCCCCGTGACACCGCACTCTGCCTGCCCACCCTCGCCCTCCCCACTGCTGCTCGATGCATTCCCACCAGCCTCTCCGCCATCTCTAGTGTGCTCTCCTCCCTCTTCCTCTTCCCCTCCTGCTTCCCTCTCTGCTGTTCCTTCTCCTGTTTCCCATTCTCCTGCTTCCCAGTTTCCTCCTCCTTCCCCTTCGCCTCCTCCATCCCCTTGTTATGCTCTTTCCCGTTTTCCTCCTGCTGCTCCTCCCCAAGCTTCCCTTGTTGCCCCTCCTCATCCATCCCACGCCTCTCCTCCTCTTCCTCACCCACTTCCTCCAATCGACCCTCCTCTTCCACCCTCTCCTTGTCTTCCACCCCACAACCCAGCACAACACCCTTCGAAGCACCACTCCCATCCTCCCCAGTTCCCCTGACAGCCTTGCTAACTAAATCCCCTCCGCCCACTCTTCTCACTCCTCCCACACCACCTATGTCGCCTGCATTCCCTCCCTCCGCACCCCACCACTTAAGCGCGTCCCACGGCAAGCCACCAGCAGGGAAGCCCTCTCTAAACTGCGTCAGCACACTCGACCTCACCTCACCCTCCCCATCCACCACACCTGCTGCTCCTGCTGCTACAGCAGCTTGGGCCGGCCCTCTCTTTACCACCCCCAGTGCTTCAGCAGCAGCATTGGCTGTTCTTCTCTCTTCCCTTCCTGCTGTCTCTCCAGCTCGAGCAGCTTGGGCCGGCCCTCTCTTTACCACCCCCAGTGCTTCAGCAGCAGCACTGGATACAGCTTCATCGCTTGCAGCAACACCCACACCCGGAGCTTCAACCTTCACGGCATCCCCCCCAGCAGAAACATGACGCTCAGCAGCCCGACATTGATGTTGTTCTGGTGGTAGTGCAACAGGGGCAGATAGCTGTTTCAGGGCCCTGGTGTCGTGTCGTTGCGCCAGTGGCAGGGGGAATGGGAAGGGGAAGGCTGGGGGGTTTTGCAGAGGCAAAGACAGGGCCAGGTCAAAGGCACTTGGGACTTTTCCTCTCACTCTCCCTGCTCTTGCTGCTGCTGCTGCTGCTGCTGCTAGAGTGGCCGCTGCAGTGGCGTCATCCTCGTTATAGTACTCCTCGATATCAGTGTCAGCTGCAAGAGCATTTGGTGTAGAAATTGCTGCTGGTGGAGGGGTCATGGTGGCGGCGATGCGGGAGGGAGCAGGATGAGCAGTAGCAGGAGCAGCAGGAGCAGCAGGAGCAGCAGCAGCGGCAGCAGCAGCACGAGGAGCAGTGGTGACTGTCCCTCCAGTAGTAGCAGAGGCAGCGGCTGCTGCTGCTGGACCCTTGACGAGAATAGGACGGAAGTTACCACCTGTGTTTGCTACTGCTGTTTGAGCCTTCCTCTCAACAGCACCACCACCCATGGTTGCTGTTGCTGCGGCTGGTGCTGCTGGTGCTGCTGGTGCTGCCACGGGTGCTGCTGCTGCTGCTGATGGTGTTATTCCTCCTCCCTCTCTTCCCCTAACTACCCCTCCTCCTCCTCTGCCTGCCCCAACCCCGGACCCTCTTCCCGTTGCTGCTACAGCCCCTGTTACAGCTGGCACCACTGTCCCTGTCGCTGCTGCTGCTGCTGCTGCTGGCACTCCTGCTGCTCGTGCTCCACTTGCTGCTAACCCTCCTCCACCTGCTGCTGTCCCTCCGCCTGCTGCTGTTCCTGCTGCTGCTCCACCTCCTGCTGCTACAGCAGCTGCATGTGGCACCATTGTAAAAGACACTGGCACGGGAGGAAGTGCCGAAACAAGCCGCCCAGCTCCCATTGCTGTGGCATAAGCTCCAGTCCGACCTGCTGCTGCTGCCACTCCTGCCGCAGCAGCAGCAGCAGGAGTAGCAGGAGCAGCAGCAGCACCAGTGGAGGCAGCAGGTGGGCGTGCGAGTGAAGCAGACGAGGCATGGGAATTCGTAGCAGCTGCAGCCACAGCAGCAGCAGCAGGAGGGGGAGGAGGAGGGGTAAGGCGCTGGGACTGAATGGCAGGAGGAGGTGTAGTGAGAGCAGGAGAAGGGGTTAAGGAAGAAACGGCCGCGAGTAGAGGAGTGACTGCAGTGGGATGGTGAGGAGCGATCCCCGTTACCCCACTCCCTCTTGCTCCTCCCTGCTGAGGGGAACTGTCTCTTCCAACGCTCCTGCCTCCCCCTCCCTGCTGGGGTGCAAAAGAAGCAGAAACCAGAGGATTCTGAGCTGTGGTTGCCGCTGTTACTGCTGCTGCTGCTGCTGCTCCGTCTCCCCTTCCTTTTCCTACCGTTGTTCTTCCTCCTCTGCCGCGTCCTGCCGGTGCTCTTAACCCTCTGCCTGCCCCAGTTCCTGTCCCCCTGCCTGCCCCAGTTCCTGTCCCTCTGCCTGCCCCAGTTCCTGTCCCTCTGCCTGCCCCAGTTCCTGTCCCTCTGCCTGCCCCAGTTCCTGCTCCTCTGCCTGCTCCCCTCCCTGCTCCTCTGCCTGCTCCTGTCCCTCCTGCTGCTTCGCTTTCTCCGCTTGCTGCTGCTGCTGCTGCTGCTGCCTGTAAAGTCTGCTGCTGCTGCTGCTGCTGCTGCTGCATCAGCTGAAGGCGCTGTTGTTGCAACTGGAGCTGCTGGTGGTGCTGCAGCAGGTGAGGGGGAATTGGCTGCTGCTGCTGCTGTTGCTGTTGCTGTTGCTGTTGCTGTTGCTGTTGCTGTTGCTGCTGCTGCTGCTGCTGCTGCTGCTGCTGCTGCTGCTGCTGCTGCTGCTGCTGCTGCTGCTGCTGCTGCTGCTGCTGCTGCTGCTGCTGCTGCTGCTGCTGCTGCTGCTGCTGCTGCTGCTGCTGCTGCTGCTGCTGCTGAAGAAACATCTGCCGTTGCTGCTGCAGCAACATTTGCTGCTGTTGCTGTTGTTGCTGCTGCTGTTGCTGCTGGTACTGCAAATGCTGCTGCAGAGATGGATTCGATGCTGGGGCTGATGAGATTCGTCTGTGGAGGAATATACATAGCAGCAACATAGCACAAGGAACAGATGGAAGCAGAATTGTAGCAACAATAATAATCGCGAGCAGTAACTAACAACAACAGTAACAACAAGGAAACGATTCTCAAGCGTGATACTCCGAATGCTTCTACTATGGAGTGCACCCACGCTGTACGAACACACTCCCTGTACACACCCAAATATCTTTGAGCGATCAAAAGGGGGAAGCGAGACACTCACTGCGATGCCAGCACGGGCTGGGAGAAAGCAGAAGCAGCACTCGCAGCAGCAGCCGCTGCACTAGCAGCAGCGGGAGAAGCAGCAGCTGCAGTGGAAGGGAGAGCAGCAGCAGGAGTCCTCAGGCCATACGGGGAGACACCCACTGGGACCTGCATGCCTGCTCCTGGCAGCAGCGGGGTGAGCGAGGGCAGAGAGGAGGAGGCTTGGCTGGGGGATGGGGCATGGGAGGGATGAGAGGGATGAGACGAAGGAGCGTGCATGGCAGGTGAAGGTACATGCTGCAGGGTAGGTGAGGGTGCGGAGAGATGGGCAGTGGAGAGGGATCTGGGAGCGGGTGAGAGGTGGGCAGTGGAGGGGGATTGGGGAGCGGGAGAGAGGTGGGAGGAGGGGTGGTGGGAGTGGGCGGAGGAGGATGCGGGAGGGGGAGTGGGGGAGGAGGAGTGGGGGGAAGTGTCTCCTGTGCTGCTGGTGGTGCCAGTGGTTGTGCCTGCTGCTTGCTCGTCTGCTACAGCTGCTGCTGCGTCTCGCTTGATCTCCTCTATTGTCATGCCCGATGCGATCCGCAGGGGGGGAGGGAAGGGGGGAAGAGGGACCTTTGAGACATCTCAAAAGTTTGCTGCGGCGGCTCGCTTGATCTCCTCTGTCAACATGCCCGATGCGATCTGCGGTGGAGGAGGGAAGGGGGGGACCTTTGAGACGACTCAAAAGTTTGCTGCTGCGTCTCGCTTGATCTCCTCTATCGTCATGCCCGATGCGATCTGCGGTGATGGAGGAAGAGGGGGGGTGGGGAGAGGGACCTTTGAGACATCTCAAGAGTTTGCTGCTGCGGCTCGCCTGATCTCCTAAATCTTCATGCCTGATGCGATCTGCGGTGGGGGAGGGAACGGGGGGGGGGGAGGGGAGGAAGAGGGACCTTTGAGACGACTCAAAAGTTTGCTGCTGCGTCTCGCTTGATCTCCTCTATTGTCATGCCTGATGCGATCTGCGGTGGGCGAGGGAAGGGGTGGGGGGGCTTCGAGGCGCCTCAAAACTTTGCTGCTGTGTCTCTCTTGATCTCCTCAATCGTCATGCCCGATGCGATCTGCGGTGGTGGAGGGAAGGGGAGGGGTGAGGGGGGGGGGGGGGAGAAGGACCTTTGAGACATCTCAAGAGTTTTCTGCTGCGGCTCGCTTGATCTCCTCTATTGTCATGCCTGATGCGATCTGTGGTGGGGGTTGGGGGTGGGGAGGAACAATGCAGAGCAATCGAAAGGGGAAACGAGGGGTTAACCGACAGTGCTAAGAAACAGGAAAAGGAGATGAATACGACAATGCACAAAAACAGGAGGACTTAAATCTGCTATCGTGAAAGGGAGAAGATTGGCTTACTTTCCGAAAGGGCCACTTGGGTATGCCGTTTTCGCGGCATATCTTTTTCAAAATAGCAGTGCTTACACCTGAAAAAATTGCGATGGGAAGGGGGGTGGGTGGGGGAGGTGAGGGGAGGGGGGAGAGAAGGGGTTTGCTGACTTTTGAGGGAGGAGTTGGAAAAACATCCCACTTAAGGAAGATTTTTGCAAGTCACGGATACGATGCGTGGTAAAGGTTTCCTTCTCCAAGCACAGTGCACGATGTTTCTACGGTAATCTTCTTCGCTCTCCCTTCTAAAGCTTAACCTTCGAGTTGACTCAAAAGCGGTGGCGAAGGGACAGGGGAAAGGCTACGGTTCAAATAGCAATGAGATGTTTTCTCATTTGAATGGAAGAACGCCCGCCGGCACGCACCCAGACGAGCCGATGCGTCGACAAGCGTCGACGCGAAGTGCTTAGAAACCTCCTCATACGTCAGCGATTCTTCTCGCTCTCGTTTCGACATCCTGACCTGTGCTTATACTGATCGAACAAGAAACGCAATCAACACTGACTCTAGCTGCTTCTGAAGGTGCGTGCAGGAATCACGCGTCTGCACCAGTGCCAAGCCGTCTCAGGCGTCAAGGAGCAATTCGTCAAACCTGTCAGGCCACCTCCGAGGTGCTTCGAAATCGACTTTCACTTCTGAGTTCCCTATTTAGATAAACACGAAGTGGTGTGGGTGCGTGTTGGCGGCAGCAACAAAAACGGAAACAAGGGGGAGTCGAGGAAGACTTCCTCCAAACATTTGGTCATTTCACTGTACACTCATCATACACCACTGTCGAATTTGCCTTATAGGTACAGAACTGTTTGCACCTATCTTGTACAAAGAGATTGTGCTGCCAGCGTTTCACCAATCACTTCAATGTCGATCTGAGGACGTCAAATCGAATGGTTGAGAGTGTTTTCAGGTGACAAAGCATCTGAATCTACGGAAAAGTACAGACCAATGTTTCGTTCCGTCAACCAATGACTTCTTGGTGTGTTGCGTTGCCTTCATCACTTCCTTCCATTTGATCCAGCAGCATGTTGTCCAACTTCAGCCTCGACCAGCAGCAGTTCTTCATCGTCCAAAAGGTTGCCTGTTTCTGCGTTATCTTGTTCAACAAGCATCAAAAACCATCTCCTCTGATATTCGAGTCGCTGTTGGTCAGAGGATATTGTACGAGTAGAAGTCGGAAACGTTGTTCTCTAACAATGACAAAGCACATTCGGGAGCAGATCACTATGCGGACGTAGAAAAGCATTTTAACCTCCCAGCGCTGGAAGCTGCTGCACGACTCGGTCGGTTAATGTACCTGCACCGGTTTATTTATTCAGTTAGGGCCTAATATGTTTTACTCGTTATGGCTCCGTCACCGCGCTGTCAGTAGTTTCCTAGTGGCTGCCCAGTCGAGTGGACGTCGTCACGTCCTGACATGTTTATGTCACAGGTGTATGCAATGCCACTTTGAAGAAGGTATGTCGTGAAAACGGTGTTCCCAGATGGCCCTACCGAAAGGTACGAGCCGCTGCTGTTTTCCAAACTGCCTTGCATGCGTTCTTTTCAACCGCACTTGCCACAGCATGGTTACGTATTCAACTTAACTGATTCCCATGTCCTCTCTTTCCGCGCCGGGCCTTATTTTTCTGAATATTAACCAGTTAATGGCTGGTAAAACACTGGATGAAATCAAGCGTGATGCAGCCCTACTAAACCTGCAAAACGTTGTAACGCCCTCTTCATCTTCAAAATCTCAGAGCCCAGGAATGTCCAGCGCTGATGGCCTAACACCTTCACCAAGCGTCTCCTTGGCGTATGACAGTGAACAAGCTGGCGATACCTCTGCATTGGTGTAAGTGGACGGTCAACTTTTTTTCTGCACAATCTCAAAGTCAAGTGGCTGACGCTGCTGAATACCTAGGTGTACCCTTTTTCCCTTTGCTTTGATATGCTGCAGACCAGCACCTGTTTTTCGACTGGCAATCGGAGTGCAGGGACTTGTGAGCTGCGACAAACCAGGGACCAGTAATCGAGCTGCTGAGGTTGTCATAGCTAAAGGGAACCATAATGGGCCCATGGGTGGCAGAACTAAGAGTTCCACAGATCCAGGTACCTTTGGCCATAAAGATAGACTTTATGAAGCCAACACTAGGTGTGCAAACGGCCATATTGCTGGCGATAAGCAACTTCTGCAGCAAGAACAGACAACAGCGGTGCCATGGCTGTGAAGAAACTACATAGCGAACGTGAATTGTGTTGTTATACAGTCTGTAGGCGTTCCTTTTTATTCAGCATTACTTTCTTCCCTGATGCATGATGATGGAACCACCATGAGGTACTGTATATAAAGTCAAACATGTATGAAACATTAAGAAAATACTCACAGCTTATGAAAGGACCCCCCTTTTCTGTACATAGCCACATAGACACGGGCTGTACGCCATACTAGAATTCCGGTGAATGCTGCTCCGATCCAGCAAACCCCCATCATGATTGTGAAAGTTAGCCGGAAGCAATGGGTCCCAACGCACTCAGTGAACTCTGATGAATCAAGCCTCCATGAGCTGAATGCCTGCACCAGTAATTGTTGCAATGGATTCCCCATACCATTACCCTTGTGTGCCTCGTAGTCGTAAAGGTACCCGGCGATCAGGCTTGAGAACAAGTACGAACCAATTGGAGTGGCAGCCGCCACTGCATTGAATATTAGGCCAAAATTCTTCAGGCCAAAGAGCTCACTCACGGTTGCAGGCATCACAGACCAGTGAACACCATAGCAAAGCCCGACAATGAGTGAGCCGATGTGCAAGGAGTATGGGAAGGCTATGGCGTAAATGGCATGACCAGCTGACATAACAAGCTGTGCCACAAGAAGCAACAGTGGCCTTGGAAGGAGATAAGTCCTGCAAGCCACGAGAATGAAACGTGAGACATGATACAGTACAATGAAAACAATCAGTATCAGGTGTTCATGCACTTACTTGACGAGGTGCTCCGAAAAATAACCTCCTGCAAGGCGGCCAATAAAGTTCCACACACTAACCAGTGACACAAACAGTTGCACCCTGCTGTAGCCCTGGGATGATGCCATTTGTGCCAAGTTGTTGATTGCAGTCAACCCGGATCCACAGCCACAAATGTACGAGAACACAAGCAGCCAAAAATCTGCCTTCCGGAGAGCTTCAACAAGTGTAAAGTCTTCACCACGTCTGGGCCCCTTCCTTCTCGTCCGTACAGCTCCTTCTCCCACTGCTAAGAGGATCTGGGAACTCCTCCTCCTGTTCAACTGTCTGTGAACAGCTTCGTCCAGTCCCCTATGATGAACACCCAGAACTGGGTGAGAGTTGTTAGTCCTCTCCTGGTCAGGCGCCAACAAACCTTTTTGGGACTCCTGATCACACAATTCCGTACTCAAATGAGCATGTGGACTCTGCATAAAATGAACAAAAATAACAATTGTAAACTGGGATAAGCTTTAAGCGACTTGCTCAGCATCCATATCACCCGTTAATAAAGCTGTAGACTCACGCAATGTACAGGCTGGTTTTCTATGCCATCATCAGCTGGTGTCTCAGATGGACTTAAGTCAGAAAATATGGAGTCTGTGCTCAACACTCGATGAATTAGGGGTTGAAGTTTGTCATCAGCCTCTCTTGAATCCACCTCTCCGTCGCACTGTTCATCTCTTCTTGAAGTATGAATAAAATTAAGGTGAAGCTCTTCAAAGAAGTGCGCAGCCGGGACAGCCAAAGGTGTAACTAGAAAGAACAGCATTCCAGCAAAAATCCATGCCCGGATCTGCCGAAAATGGACAAGTGAAACTTATCAAAACATTTTTCTTTTTGAAACCGCATCAACACACCTGAAACTTTATTAACATCTGACCCTGCCTCAACGCACCTGAGATGTAAGTTCCATCTGATCTTCAACGAAGATTGCAACAAGAAGGTAGCATGCCAGGCCCGTGCAGGACATGACGACTTTCTCAAAGCTCTTTTTCTCCTCAATATCATCGTACAAGACCCGGTTTTCTGACCTGCACAAAGAGGCAAATAAGACTTTTGATCCATATGTGAACCGCCATTTGAAACCCCGACACCGTACCTGACAAAGCTCATGGTTGGAACGGCAACTGCCAAGGGCACGACTGCAAGGACCAAGAGAAACGATGGCTGGTTCGGAGCTAGAAAAGCTGAGTAAGCTTGAGAAAGAATGGCATTCGAAAGGCCGACCAGTCCTTTCAGTACGCCAACAACTGGTCCTCGCGATCTCGGAGAATTGCGTATGCAGGTCACAAGAGCTGCAGTGTTGAACCAAGCGGTCCCTTGAGCTCCAACTAGAATTAACGAGCACATCTGCGAAAGAAATGCGTAAGGATCGACCTCAGGGTATATCAGGAAGTCAAAGCTATCCGATTCGCCGCGAATACGGCATTTATCGTGAACTCACCTGCCAGAATGGTAGCGGCTGAATGCGCTGCGAAGCTACGAGCCATAGACCACCAAATCCAGTCAAATAGTGCAGTGCACCAACCAGAAGCATAAGCCATCCTGGTAGCCAGTCGCACAAGATACCCGCAACTAGACCGACGCTTTCTCCAACATCCTTGGCAACGGCTAGAGCCTGAATGTGCTTCTGATCTTAACCTGCTACGGCTTTCAGGACGGGTGAGTAAATGGCGAATGTTCCAGACGTTCCTGCTGTGGAAAGAATCCACATGCAGCAAACGAAGCATAACCACTTCGCAGCCGCCATGATGAGATTCTCTGCTCCACAGCCTTTGCGTGGGTTGTATCAATGTCTAACCTGCGAGCAGAAAAAGGGATTGTATGGGATGGAGGAAGGAATGTTGGAGGCTCCGTGACCCTGGACAGATTTTCGCCTACCTGGCCAGTACAAGCCTCGATTGGCTCAAAAAAGGACCCCTGCTTTGGGGAGCAGCTCCTTTTCCTCGGTGCCTGTCAGCCGTCAGACCTCTCAAAACCAGCTCGGCTCCTTAGAGTCTGGAATGCGGATCTCTTCATGAATGTCACTTTGAGACTCGCTACGGAATCTCACTCGGTCCCACATCATGTCAGTATGCAAGCGTCAAAATTATATTGATGAATACTGTAAGGAAAATTCCTTTTCCTTACTTCGCGTCCCTACTCAGCGCGTACACCACCGTTCCCGCCAACAGCACCCCACAATATTCCGCTACCACTCGCGACATTCGCCTTGACACCATTCCCGCCACTGTTCACGATGCGACCCAACCTCACGGTTCGGTTGGTAACCCGCGCTCCGGACCTCCGCCTCGACAGTCCCCCAACCTCGGCATCAGGCCCGTCGCGCACCCCATTTTCCACAAATTGCCGTTACCACCGTAGCTTCGCTATATATTCTTCGCTCAATCCTTCGCTCATTGTATTCTTGTCTCGATAGTGCAATCATTGCTCGCTCACTCTATTGCACTCGTAACAAATACGCATTCAATACTCCATAATTAGATCATACATAAAGTGCAAACTTCGTAGTATAATGCAGTCATCTCTATCTAAAAAACTGTCACAAGTTATAATCATGGCAGAATGAATTCATCTCAATATAGCTCACTACGTAACATTTCTGATTGCTAAGTTCTTCACTTCAGCAATTAGAAGAGCAATCGTAGAGTTTATTGTTATTTTATTTTATTTTTATTAAATGATAGATATACACTGAGATGAGCAAGTATATACCATCGTAACATTCGTAGCAGCGCGTGAGGAACAGAGGTTGAACTACTGTTTCAGATGAGATATCTACAGACGGGAGATGCTTACCCTCCGCCTACACCACATCGCGGCGAACGCACTTGTCTATCAGAAGAATGAACGAGAATGAATAAACTATGAAACAGTTGGGTACAAGTACTAACCCTAACTGGGTTGTACCCCTTATGGGCTACCCCACTATAGCCTACACACATGTAAGCACTATAACATTCTGACACACCCCCATTGGCAAAGTGGGGAAGAACAAGAGGTCACAAGACCAGTCAAGAAGATCAAAGCAAGCTCAGGGTGGATCACAAAGTCACCACACAGTCCGAGCACAAGCAAGGGCAACAAGGCTAGTTCACATACAGAGTTATATAAAGAACACAAACAATACAGTGATCATACCCTAGCAATGCAGGTACATATATAGATCACAGTACAAGCAAAGTCACGCAGTGAGCAAGTGAGGCAAAGTAGGCACAAGGCCTAACACAGTAGAGAAGCACTGATGATCACCAGGCGGAAGTGCCTTGGTGAATATATCAGCAGTGTTGGCCCTAGTGGCCACGTACGCAAGACGAAGCTGACCATGGTGCAACTCTCGAGCAAGGAAGTATCGCAGAGCGATGTGATTCGTTCTGTGCTCCAGTCTGTGCTCCTCACACAAGGCAATCATGGCCTTGTTGTCTACGTACAGAACTGGAGGCGAACGAGGCTGCTCTCCCAAGTCAATCAGCATGTAGGTGAGCCAGCGTAGCTCCTGTGCAGCCATGGCCCCTGCGTAGATCTCAGCCTCACAACTGGAGCTGAGAACCGGAGACAATCGGGTAGACCGCCAGGAAACAGAGCCGGAGCCGAGGCTGAAGGTGTAACCCAGTGACGACCACTGCGTAGTTGAGTCGTCAACCCAAGAAGCGTCTGCGTGACCAGTGAGGACAACTGGACCCCGTCCTCCAAGCACGAGCCCCATGCCCAACGTATTGCACAAGTAACGTAGCACCCTCTTCGCAGCATCCCAGTGCACCTTTCGGTGCCTACCGGGAGCCACGTAGCGAGCCAGAAGGCTGAGAGGGTACGCGAGTTCAGGTCGTGTGCACGTCATCAGGTACATGAGGCAACCCACAAGCTCTGGGTACGGACCACTTGGCTCTACGGACTCGTCCAAAGGTGGAGCTGAGAGCGAGTGGCCGTTAGACAGAGGAGTGGGCTGTGGCGAGGAGAACTGGAAGCCGAAGCGCTGAAGGACCTAGTGCACCATGTGTGACTGAGTCAGTGTGATGGTGCGCCGTGCTCTGTCCCGGGTGATCTGCAAGCCAAGATAGCTGCGCAGTTCACCCAGGTCAGTGCAAGTGTGTCTCTTTTACAGCTCCAACTTCACAAGGGTAAGTGCCTCAGTGTCAGCAGTGGCAAAGATGAGGTCGTCGATGTACACGAGGACGTAGAACGGTGGCAGTGACGTGTCGGTGCGTGGAAACAACGACGGGTCAGCAGTAGAAGGAGTAAACCCCAGAGCCGCAAGTGTAGTCCTCAGAGGTCGTGCCACAAGCAAGGCGCCTAGCGGAGACCGTAGACTGGCCGCCGGAGGCTCCACTGGGTACCGACAGGAAACGACCCGGTGAAGCCAAGAGGGCTGCGCAGCCAGATCTCCTCGTGCAGGCTGCCCTGCAAGAAAGTTGTACTGAAGTCCAGAGAGTGTAACTCGTAGTCCCGCTGAGCACTGACGTGCAGCAACACCCGAAGAGTAGTCATCTTCGGGGTGGGGGAGAAGGTATGGAAGTAGTCGACCCCCTGTCGCTGACTGAAGCCTCGAGCAACGTAACGCGCCTTGAAGGCAGGCGGAGAACCCGGCGGCCGCTTCACCCTGAAAATCCACATGCCGTCGACTATGTTCGCCCGAGACGGGGGAACGGCGTTGACGTACGTGCCCGTGGACTTCCAGGATGCCATCTCGGTATCCATGGCTGCCTGCCACTGAGAGGAGTAGGGACCCGTAATCGCCTCTACGTAAGAGCACGGGGCCGGGATGTCTGGTGCATCCGGGTCTCCCTCAGGGACAAGCAGCATGGAAGCGAAACGAGGTACAGCAGCTGCAAGACTCTCAAAGTCCTCTTGCCTGTCCTCAAGGACGTCCGTGCCAAGAGCACACTCACCCCCGACGGACGGAGGACTGGCAGACTCAGACTCAGCAACAAGAACAATGGCGTAGTCTAGACGACAGGCAGCAGCAAAGTCAACTAGCTCAGCAACGAGGGCAGGCGCAGCAGTGGACTCAAAGGAAGGGTCAGTGCCAACAGTGGCGAGGAGACGAGAGACAGTGGAACTGGCAGCACGAGCACGGTCAGACTCAGGGTCAGGGATGGTAGGAAGAGAGGACTCAGGAGGAGGCGGCAGAGGAACACGCAGTGGAACAGAGGAAGGACGAAGTGCCATAGCGTGTGTGCCGGGGACAGGAGGAGGACGCGCACAAGGAACGCGACGACCAGTGCGAACAGGCGAGGTAGGACGAGACGCAGGTTCACGACGCTCTGTAAGACCGCCGGTCTGCTCAGTGTAAGGAGAAGGAGCAGGCAGTGGGGAGGCTGGCTGTAACGGCGATTGGTCAGGAGAAGACGGGACAAGAAACTGCTGAAGCAGGGGAACGAAGTACGGCCGCGGCCGCAAAGTGCCTCCAGCACCTCCAGCTCCATGGTCAACAGCTCCAGCTCCTCCAGCTCCAGCGCCTCCCGCGCCAGTGCCTCCAACACCAGCGCCAACAGCTCCAGCTCCTCCAGCCCCAGCAGCTCCAGGCTCCGTAGGGTCTCCAGCTCTAGGTCCCCCAACACCACCAGTCCCGGAAGCTTCAGTACTCTTGGTACGAGCACCTCCAGGACCAGCAGCTGCATCACCTCCGGTACCACCAGCTCCAGCAGTAACTGCAGCACCTCCAGCTCTAGTGTCTCTATCGGTAGAGTCTCCAGCTCCGGCAGCTCAACCCCGAAGGCGGGTGTGCTGTGCAAACCACTCGCGCAGCTGCTGCGGGGAGAGAGGCTCCGGCCGGGGAGACAGTCGTGGTGGAGCACCCGCAGGACCTCCAGAAGAAGCAGTACCCCTCGACTCAGCACCCCTAGACTCCGCACCCTCAGACGCAGTACCCCCAGGCTCCACACCCTCAGGCTCAGCACCCCCAGACCCGGCACCCTCAGACTCCGCACCCTCAGGCTCCGCACCCCCAGACCCGGCACCCTCAGACCCCGCACCCCCAGGCTCTGCACCCCCAGGCTCCGCACCCCTAGACGCAGCACCTCCAGACGAAGCACCTGGAGCAGCACCTGAGCCGACAGCTACCTCAACAGGCGCAGTACCAGGGAGAGGGTCTATCTGAGACACACCTGAGGGAGCTGGACCCTGGGGGGGGAGGGGGTCTACCGGAGGGGGGCCTGGAGCAAGGAAGTGCGGCGCGGGTGGGGGAGGAGCAGAGCGGTAGGGGAAGAGACAGTGAAAGGGAACCGACTCGTCAAAAGTGACGTCCTGAGAGGGGAAGACACGGCGCGAGGAGGGGTGGTAAAACTGCCAGCCGGGCGCGTCAGGGGAAAAGCCAAGGAAGACGCAGGGAATAGCACGGGCAGAGAGCTTGT